AAGGAATGTCGTCTTGCTTGGACTCGGACCCAAAGTCGGCAGCAACGCCAGGCATATCCAGGACTTCTTTCTCGGGATCGACTGGGTTTGCCCGGATGTTCCGGACCGTCACAAGTTTCCCCTCATCATTCAAGACAACATGCCCATCGGTAACGATGTTGGACGGTGACAGGTATCGCCCCTGGGACCAGGGATTCCAGGGCTTCAGGTTGCCAGGAAGGACAGGCCTCTTAAACAGCACTCGTTGCCCGAAGTAGGCCGGAGGTGATGTTCCCAGTACTCGGTGTTGATGCAAGGAAGCAGCATACTGCATCGCCGAGGGCCAATGGATGACAGGGAGATCTGCACTGCTCAGGAGCGTGCGCGCCCTCTGTTTACTCCATCCCACGATCCTCTCGGCGAGTCCGTTCCCCTTATGGTCGTGAGGCTCGGACATACTCACACGGATGGAGCGCTTAGAACACCATTCCTTCAACCCTTCGGAGAGGAATTCTCTTCCTTGGTCGGTGTGCAAAGAACGAACGGGTAGACCGATGCGCTCTATTTCGGAGATGATGGAGTGGATGGCAGGCAGGATGGCCGTGAAGTGTTTCGAGGGAATCGGGCGGACAAAACGAAGGACGGTTTGAGGTACAGGGCTTTCCAGCTGTTTGACAGTCGTTCGCAAGGCCTCTTCATCCCACAGACCCCCTTCCTCCTCCTCTTCAACTTCCACGGTCACGGTATCCAAGGTGGATGATATCTCAGGCGCCCCTTCCTCCTCCTCTGGCCAGGAGAAAACGTCTTGGACTTCCTCCTCCAGACGGTGGTCCTCCTCGGCAGGACTGACATCATGCTCAGGAATTGGAGGGATTCCTCGAAGGTCCTTGCCCTCCTTGGCCATTTGATCAAGCAGATCCTTGGCGAAGAGATCCTCGATGGATTTCCTGGCGCCGATCCAGCCTCCCTTCTCCAAAAGCTCCGACGGTGCCCTGTAGGCCGCCACCAAGGCATATCTGTGTCGAGGTCGGGAAGCGATACAATCTTCCGAGAGCCCCTTCTCGGGCAACGGACCGAGAAGGTCACAAGACAAGGCAAAAGATGCCGGGGCCTTAACCTTCCGATGTTGGAGGCCAACCCCGCTCCCGAGGATGCACGCCTTGCAGTCGCGGCGATAGGGGAGGTGGCCGCTCAAGATGTGTTGACGCCACTCCTCCTCTTCCTTGCTCACGGCAGCAGCAGCAGGTGCTTCGGAAGGTTCCTGGATTTGTCGTCGGGCCTCAGTAATGGCCTTATCAATGCTCTCAAGCTCTCCAGGACGCAAAACATCCGACGGTGGCAGGAAAGCTCCGGCAATGCAAGCTCTCACCTCGGCCTCAACCTTGCAGGAATCCAGGGATGGTATAGCGCAGTTGGAAGCAATCACAGTGCCGGTGTGTGGCGCCTCTCTTGTTTCAAGGCCACCGGTCCAAGTAGCGAACCGGTTCCACGCCTCAGTCGTGAAGGGTTTGGCCGACGACGACATCACCGCCAACGGAACCGTGTAACCCCTAACAACAGACGAAAGGGTCCACAACCACTGCAACAACGGGACCAGGCTGAGATTGGGGCCAAGCTCACCCTCTACCCCAGCAATTCGACCATGGACGGCGGCCCACAGAAGAATCTGAGCGATGCTGTTTCCAGGGGTCAGGGCCTCGCGGTGCTGCTTGCTCAGGTTGATGGTTACTATGGGAACCCCCCTTTGATTACACCAAGTATCCAAAGGATCGTCCCCGAAGTCTTGCCTAACAAACCTTAGCACCCAGTCCTTAGAGCTCTCTAGCGTTCGCCTAGTTCTCCTTGGCAGCTGAAGGGCCTTTAGGACGTGTCGCACATGGTGGCTGTGGATGGGGAGGTTGGCTCCCAGGAGAGGAAGGTGCTCCTTCGCAAAGAGGCCTGTTGCCGTCGCAGCTTGCAGCAGCTCAACCCTGGAACCAGTTTCCCTAGCTTCCTTGACCCTAGCCTTCAGTGGCTTCGGTGCACTTAAACCTCTTAGGATGGCCTGAAGCTCTTCCACCTCAGTGTTGAACTTCGCCAGCTTAGCTTCTTCAAGCTCATGGATGAGCTCCAAAGCTCTGGTCTCTGCCAAGATCGGACAACCCTGGCGGACACGAAGCGGGATCTTCCCATGAAGCGGATGCACCAAGGTGGCCTTCTTCCCAGACCATGTCAAAGAGCATCCTAGCTCCTGGATCAAAGCTCCAACCGGGACGATGGGCTGCGATCCCGGCTCAACCAGGATGGTTCCGGAGGAATTTTGCTCCATCACCCTCGTCACCCCTCCGGCCAAAGTGACCTCAGTGCGAGACGTGTTGGTGTCCTTAGGCTCTCGAGAACGCATGGGGTGCGAGGCTCCGGAGTCCAGCAAGCCAGTCCTTTCACCCTGGTCTACCTCGCAAGGCGAGGGGTCAGTGCTTGCTACCTGTGCAGTTCTGATGTTAGGCTGTCCATCAGGGATCGCCTGGCGGATCGCATCGAGGTGGGCCTGAAGGGTCGCAACCGAAACAGGAACCCCTTGGGCGACAGGAGCTTGCGACGCTGATGGAATGGGCTGTGCTTCAACGACAGGTACCCCGGAGGGTTCCTTGGGCTGGATTGCCTTGAGAACCTTGGCAGCATCCTCAAGGAGAGCTGTGACGTGGTTGGCATTGGGCGAGGGAGCTGCAGCCTTCAACTCAGGTCCCTTTGGTGGAGGTGAGGTCTTAGGGTTCTTGGGAGGTGGACCCCCGGCCCTTCCGGCTTTGCTGTTCGGGCAATCCACCTTCCGGTGATTTCTTCCTCCACAAGCCATACATCTTTCACTACGCTCATTCGCAGGAATCTCCTTCCACTCGTGCAAGTCTTGGCACCTTTCCCCTTTACGGCAACCCTGACCCTGCAGAAAGAACCGACACTTATTCCCTGTGGAACCAGGCTGTGGCGGAGGACTCTTAGGGTTAACCGTCGGGAGTCCTGGGGCAGGGTTCTTAGGGTTCCCCTTTCCTTTAGGGCCTGGTGCTTGCGAAGACGATGCTGGAGCTGTCGGGTTATCCACCGCTGCAATCTGAGGAGGGGGCGCCTTGGCCTTCGGAGTGACCCTTCCGAGCGCTTCAACCTCGGCAGTAAGGGCAGCATGGAGCTGAACGACCGACTCCTGGCTTGGTGCAACCTCAACCTTCAAGGCGGCTCGAACCAGATTAACCCTAAAGAGAGCTTCGGGAGCCCCCTCAAGCACACCCTTAACTATCGTATTTAGGGCCTTTACAAGGATCACTGGATCAGGAGTGGTTCCTCCCAAGGCTTGAGTTCGCAGTAGCCAACGCTTCCACTTCCGGAGGACTTCAGTGGCTTGGTGCGGCGATGATGCTTGCACAGGAGATTGAAGGAACTGAATCCCCTGCTCTCGTTCCGAGACTCCACCAGGGGCATACAGAGAATACAGTCGGCAGATGATCCCCAGAGGAGTTTTGATCCTCCCTGCCACGAGTTCTTCCTTGACGGACTTTGGGCAGGCTGCAATTAGGAGCGACTCCAACCTTTTTGCCAACCTGGACCATCTTACATCCTGGAGTTCGTAACTCGGGACAGGGTTTAGAGTCAAACGGGTGACAGGATCGGCCGATATGTATCCAGCGTACCATCTCTCTGCTTCCTTGCACAAGCATGCCCAATAGTCAGCCGATGTGCTGGACATGTCCTCCACACAGGGCGCGCAAAGGTGCAACCAATCCATGAATGCCAACGATGCCTCAGCCCCAATTTCAGGCAACTTAGGAAGTTCCTGCCAATGGTACTTGACCTGCTCGGCACTCGTGGGTGAACCTTCACTTCCCCGCAGGACAGCTTGCAGGCCTTGCAGTAAGTTCGTGACCTCAGGACTCCTAGCGTTTGCATCTTGGATCGGGGAAACTGCTGCACCTGGGCTTGGCACGCCTTGGACATGCTCCAAGGGCTTCGTACCCCGAGCTGCGACCGAGGGAAATGCTGCACCTGGACCTGGCACGCCTGGGACTTGCTCCAAGGGCTTCGTACCCCGAGCTGCGACCGAGGGAAATGCTGGCACGCCTGGGACTTGCTCCAAGGGCTTCGTACCCCGAGCTGCGACCGAGGGAAATGCTGCACCTGATGCACCTGGCACGCCTGGGACATGCTCCAAGGGCTTCGTACCCCGAGCTGCGACCGAGGGAAACGCTGCACCTGATGCACCTGGCACGCCTGGGACATGCTCCAAGGGCTGCATACCCTGAGCTGCACCGAGGGAAATGCTGCACCTGATGCACCTGGCACGCCTGGGACATGCTCCAAGGGCTGCATACCCTGAGCTGCGACCGAGGGAAATGCTGGCACCTGGCACGCCTGGGACATGCTCCAAGGGCTGCATACCCTGAGCTGCGACCGAGGGAAATGCTGCACCTGATGCACCTGGCACGCCTGGGACATGCTCCAAGGGCTGCATACCCTGAGCTGCGACCGAGGGAAATGCAAAGCCTGGGCCTGGCACGCCTGGGACATGCTCCAAGGGTTGCATGCCCTGAGCTGCGACCGAGTGATGTGCATATCCTGACAGACCTGGAACGCCTGGGAAGGATGCTGGACCTGGCACGCCTGGGACATGCTCCAAGGGCTGCATACCCTGAGCTGCAATCGAGGGAAATGCTGCACCTAAGGAACCTGGCACGCCTGGGACCTGCTCCAAGGGTCTCGTACCCTGAGCTGCAACCGGGGGAAAACCTGCGCCTGGTTGGTTGAGGGTTTGCCGAGGACCCGAACCCAATCCCTTGAAGTTCTCACCCAACCAACCCCAAACCTTACCTACTGTGCTAGTTCTCCATGACTCCCGTTCTGCTACAGCTACAGCATTAGCGAGACGGTCCCTTAGGAACTCATTCTCCCTAGCTAGTCCCTGTACAAGCGCACTATGCTCTCTTCGCATGACCTCCAGCTGTCGATGCACTTCGGCCTGAACGGCCCCACTGCTCACACCAGCTGAATCCGACGACTCAGGCCTTCCAGCTTCTCTTCCAGGACTCCCAAACCCAGAAAGCAAAGGCGCCTCGCGATTCATCGTCTCAATCTGGCTCAGGACTTCAGGCGGAAACAGTGGCTGCTGCAACATCACCTCGGCTGGAGCGTGGGGAGGCCCACGTGGTGGAGAGGGAGACCTCGAATCATCCCGTGACCCATCCCAGCCAGCACTCAGATACGTTTCCACTTCCCCAGACTCTCCTCCTTCGTTCATAGGAGGTCGGGAAGCCATAGCAGGGTGTCCAGCGGCCACCTGCACCGCTTGCCAGATCTGTCCTACAGCTCGCCGTGCACTCTCCAAAGGTCCTTCGGGTAGTTCTGAACTGTTGTTGCCTGCTCCAGGGGGCAAACCGGTATCTGGGGCCTCGCCCCCATCGGTTGCCGCCCTCAGGTCATTCACAACCTCCAAAGGTGTAGCTGTACCACCACCTCCAGAGCCAGGGATGGACCCCTGCTGCAGATCATTGCCAGATCTGCAGCCGGAGGCCATCCTCGTGTCCTGCGGCAAACTGCTCCCAGCATCCAAGCCCACACCACTTGTAGACCCAGCTTCAGAAGCAGCCCCATAGCTTGGCGCCACCGACGACTGGTGCCCGCGACCATTCATCAGAGGCCCTGTAGCGGAGCCCCGCACCGCCGAAGCGGATTGGGCACTCATAACCTGTTGATGGCTCAAACAGGTCCCCAGCGAAGAGCACCCCTTCGATGTGGACTGAGTCCTCCTCCGAAATCTCGAACCTTGTATTCTTTGCCGAAGAAAACCTCCGAAACTCCAATCGCCCAAAGTCTCCCAGACTGCACAGCGCAGAGCGGCCTATGGCTTTTCTCTCAGCTAGCGAACACGCTCGGACTCAGAAGAGAAGAAAGAACAAAAGCAAGCTGACAAGTGCTATACAAAGCCAGACTTACAAATCTTTCTTGAAAGCTATGTGTTTGCGGTGCATGCAGCCCCTTCCAAGCACATCCCTACTGAGTGCTTCAAGCATGTTCGGGTTATGTACTCGTGCTGCATGCCTTTGAACCACAAGTCGGAAAAGAAGAAGCGAAGCACCTGGGCAAAGGGCTCGTGGAGGGTCTGGACATTCAACAGATCCTCTTAAGGGATGGACCATGGAAGAAGAGTGCCTTAGCAGATGTAGATTCTTATCACTTGTTCTTCTGACTTCTTGTTGGTGAGTGTATAGGGGGGGGGGGGATGCCTTATAGATATTGCGGTGAGTGTATTGTTGGGTGTCCGTCTCGGGATATGCCATAGTAAGGACCCTACCGCGTACCATCCCCTCTGTGGGATACCACGGCAACACCCTCCCATCTTTTCGCATCTTCCCTTGACCTAGTAAGGTTGTATTGGCCTTTGGGCTTCTTAGGGGAAGCATCACGAAGCCCTTGCAGTATAGGGTTGAGGGTTTAAGACTTCCGGTTTAGGGTTTTGAAGGCTCCCTGAGCCCTAAACGAGAAACCCAAACTGGTAAGGACCCACGAGCCAGCTAAGCCCAAAAAGACCTAAATCTCCAGGGCATATTGGGGGGCCCATCCTTTACACCATAAAGCCCTTAACCCCCAAAACCCTAAGCCCTAAACCCTAATCCCTGAACCCTAAACCCTATAATTCCTAAACTCTAAACCCTAAACCTTAAACCCTAAACCCTAAAATCCCTAATCCCTAAACCTTATACTCCCTCAACCCCAATATCCCTCAACCCTATAACCCACCCCTAAACCCCAAAAGCCCCTGGACCCTTTCTTGCTTGCCAGGAAACCCTAAACCCTAAACCCTAAACCTTAAACCCTAAACCCTAAAATCCCGAGTCCCTAAACCTTAGGATGGCTCAGCCTTAGCGGCTGCCGTGGGCTCCAGAAAGGGCTGGCACACCTTCGCCGCTGTCAGGCTTCTGCGTCTTAAGAGGTGTTGTGAGGGTGTTGAAATTGAGGGTTTGTAGGGTTTAGGGTTTCTTTTGGAGTTGAGAATTTGTTGGGTGTTTTGAGGGATTTATTGAGGGTGAGGTTTTTGTTGAGGGTTTTTGATGGTTTTTTGAGAGTTTTGGAGGGTTTCAGGTTTTGGGGTTTAGGGTTCGTTTTAGAGTTTAGGGTTCTTAGGTTGGGGGAGGGGCGAGAAGTGGTGGGGGGTTGAGGGGAAAAAACCAACCCAAAACCCCAAAACCCTAAGTTCAGCTGTTACTTCGCTTTCGGATCTTATTCATGGGAAGCGGGAGCGGCGTGGGAGGAGGGTTTTGGGTTGAGGGTTTAGGGTTTAGGGTTTAGGGTTTAGGGTTTGCTGAGGGTGAGTAAGACAGAGGGTTTGTTTTTTCAGCTGTATTCGATGTATTCATATGGGGTACTGCGAAGACCTACTCTTGTAAGCTTGTTGCAGCAAAACAATAAAACCCTATACCCTATGCCCTACACCCTAAACCCCAAACCCTAAACCCTAAACCCTAATCCTTCAACCCTAAACCCTACACCCTAAACCCCAAACCCTAAACCCTAAACCTAGGGGCTTGCAACCTTCCGCGATGCACTCAACTCGGAGAGCTCAAAAATGCTCCATTGTTCTCCTCCTCCTTCTTGAAGCCAAAGACCGTACAGGACGATGAGCAGATTTTGGGTGTAGGGTTTAGGGTTTAGGGTTTAGGGTTTAGGGTTTAGGGTTTAGGGTTAGGGTTTAGGGTTAGGGTTTAGGGTTTAGGGTTTAGGGTGTATAGGGCTGAGTGACGAAGATTACACCAGTGCACGGTCTTAAAAGTTCAACCAAGCCTCAGGCCCTGGTCTTCCTGGACCTCTTCGACTGCGATCTCGCGGATGCTGGCGAGGTCTTGGACGCCTGCCGCTCCTCTACGATTTGCTTAAGAAGCCCTAAGGAATAGAAAGGAAGAATCCCTTTGTTCCCCTTAAGAATAACCCCCAAGAATAAAAAAAAACACTCCCTATATTCCCCTTAATCATAACCCCTAAAGAATAAGAAAGAATATTCCCTATATTGCCCTTAGTAAGGAAGAATAAGTTTTTTTATGTTTTGGGGGTTCTTGAAGCAACTGGTAGTCCTCTACACTCATAGGATTCTGCCTGGGGCCATTAAGGTTAACCCTTGGGTTTGGGGACTAAACCCTAAACCCTAAACCCTAAACCCTAAACCCTAAACCCTAAACCCTAAACCCTAAACCCTAAACCCTAAACCCTAAACCCTAAACGTAACCCTAAACCCTAGGAATATCTTAAGGGAAGCCTCTGAGAGGTACACCCTTAGGGGTCCCAGTATGACTGCCTGATAACCCTGTCCGGCAGGCTTAGCTATAAGTTGGCCTTTGGGGTTTTTCGTGTTTTCCTGAATTTGGGTTTGTAAGGCACCCTGTATACCCATATTTTTCAAAGGGTTTTTAGAGGCCAACCCAGTTGGCTGCTATCCCTTCCAAAATCTGCCACGCCAAACCACTAAAATTGGTTCACCCCCCCCCCCCCCGCCCATTTTTTGTGTACTGTGGCTTTGTCCATGCCTGTACAGCGAGGCAGGATCACAAAGTGGTAGTTTTTTTGTGTTTTGTGTCTGGCACACTTGCAGTTGTATTCAAGCAAAGGGGCCCGTAATGCGTTCGGTGCTTTAAGACTCCACCCTGAACCCTACGCAAACCCCAACCCTGAATCCTGAGTCCACCCTAACGTTTAGCGTTTAGGGTTTAGGGGTTAGGGTTTTGGGTTTTAGGCTTTGGGTCTGATGGCTTTCGAGCTGTGATTCCAACAAAGGGCCTATAGGCACCCTGAATCCATGAAGGTTGTAACTGGCAAGCTTCTGAGAAGAACAACGCTTGCAGAAGCCTGCACGGCCCTAAACCCTAAACCCTAAACCCTAAACCCCAAACCCCAAACCCCCCGAACCTCACCCTTAGTGTCTTCCCCGTTAGCCTAGGAGCTGTGTGATCCCTTTCGGTTACATGGAGCTGACAGAACCCAACGTAAACACCAACGTTCCCAAAAAAAACGAAGCCTTTCCTTCAACCACAACCCCTATAAGGATCCATGTGCCCATACATGTATATATATAGATAGATAGATATATATATATGTATATATATATATGTATGTATAGGGTATACTTGGGCCCTAAGTTGCTATATAGGAAGGGGCTTGGTTTAGGGTTTTGGGTTTAGGGATTATAGGGAACGAGACTCAGGCATGGCGCCACAAGTGCACCACGTTGTCTGGCCGAGTCTCGACCACCTCAGCCGCTCTGCGCGAAAGGCGCCGGGGATACGACAAGTCAGCGTGTCGGGTTTAGGGTGTTTGGGGTTTTGGATTTAGGGTTTAGGGTGTTTGGGGTTTTGGATTTAGGGTTTAGGGTGTTTGGGGTTTAGGGTTTAGGGTTTTTGGGGTCCAGGGGTTTAGGGTTTAGGGGTTTAGGGGTTCAGGCAAAGCCGGTAAGTGCCTTGCCTTTCGGGCGTTGGGGTAGACTGAGCGAGATTTTGGCAGCGTGTAGACGAATCTGCAGCAGCATCTTCTGAAGATACCCTCGTAGCATGTACTCCTTGCACCCAAACCCCAAACTCCCAGACCCCCAAACCCCAAACCCCCAAAACCCCCGAACCCCCAAACCTCATACCTCAAACCCCTAAAACCCCTGTAGCTCAAACCCCTAACTCCAGACCCCAAACCATAAACACTACACAAGCCCTTGGCACCCTTAGCCCTCTCAACTCCAAACCTTTGGCCCGTTCCTGGACAGGCGGCACTGTCGCAAAACGAAGTGCACCACCTGCGACTCGGCTCCACATGCTGGGGTTTGGGGAACCCAAACCCCTGAACCCTGAACCCTGAACCCTAACCCTAAACCCTAAACCCTAAACCCTAAACCCTAAACCTAAACCCTAAACCCCTAAACCCTAAACCCTAAACCCTAAACTTTCCCCAAACCCTAAACCCAAAACCCAGGGTTTAGGGGTTTTGGGGCTTTGAGGGTGTCTTGGGGGACTCGGACTGTCAGCCCCTAAACAAGACCCCGAAACTCCCAAACCCCAAAAACCTCGGAAGTGGAAGCCCCTGAAATCGGAAGCCCAGTTCTCTTTCGAATAATGTGGTTTTGGGTTTAGGGTTTGGGGTTTGGGGTTTAGGGTGATGCAAGAATGCAATGATTGAATGAAAAAGCCATGCAGTCGTGGAAGAGGAGGGGGGGGTGGTAAGGGTTAGGGTTTAGGGTTTATAGGGTTTAGGGTTTAGGGTTTAGGGTTTAGGGTTTAGGGGTTAGGGTTTAGGGTTTAGGGTTTAGGGTTTAGGGTTTAGGGTTTAGGGTTTAGGGTTTTAGGGTTTAGCAAATCAGCTGCATGTCCCGCGGTATGACCGGCTCCTGCAGCAAAGTACCTGCGCACGAAGAGGCCTATGTAATACCAGGGCTATAGGGTTCAGGCTTCTGAATGCTGCGCGTTTGGAGCGTCTCGGGCCGGGAGCTGGCCTCAGTGCCCACCGAGGACCTGAGCAAGATCGATGTGAGGCACTTGAAGGGCCACTTGCGCACACGGCTCGGGTACCCAGTGTGCCTTCAGGAGCTCCTACTGGGGGGTGCCTGCCTGAAGAACGGTGATCCCTTGGAGGGGCCGCTGGACCTGCAGCTGGTGGTGCTCTCCGCCATCAGGCCAGGGAAGATGCCTCGGGCTGCACGCGAGCTTTCGGAGG